CCTAGTAAATAATAATACATTTGAGTTGCAAGTGGCATTAGAGATGATGGCCAGCCACACCATTTAGGAGAGCTAGGATCAAAATGTAGGGCTCTAGACTCCTGATCCAGTGCTCCTTCACAATGAATAGATCCTCCTTGAGTCCTTCACAATCTCTGTGGAAGTTAGGCTACAAGGCAGGAGAATGCTTGGGCCCAACCACCATGTTTTATTTTTATCCAGATGTTTTGACCTTATAGACAAAGCCTTTCCTGATCTAGGAAGTCTGGTCATGATCCAAAAATCTGGAGAAAATTAGATAGTTATTCTAAAATTAAAGTGACTGTAAGCATGGCAGGAAATAAACCAAAAACTTTTAAGTTGTGAACAAGTCACATAGACTTGGCATAAATGATGGTCCAAGTTGATACAAATTAAAACATGTAAGCAGTTTATGATATATTTATATGAATTAATATATATTAGAATGTACTACATGGTTCAGGGATTAATTTGTATAAGTCAATTATTGCACATCAAAGTATATCAGGTGATTCATGGATTATTTATATATACCTACTCTTAACTGCTGTGTGTTTTAATGAACACATATGTCTAAAAAATCATAATCGAATAGAAGCCATCACTCATGTTTGCATCTTAAACAACTAAGCCACACTTGCTACCATGTAACAATAAAAACATCATCATTGTGAACCATAATTATGGAGAGTTCCTAAAGTATCTGGCATGAAGCTAAAAGATCTGGGTTCAAGGTTTGCTTGGCTTCTTTCTAGCTTTGTAGCTTTGGCAAATCACTTGTCCTTCCCAGTGCAGAACTTGAAACAGAGAAGACCAGACATGTTGCTATTGGTTCACAGGCCCTTGGTCTTTACACCTGATAACAACCTAGGTCTCTGTTAGTACCTCTTAGGCATCCTTGGTGTGAATTAAATAGCAAATCAGGCCCTGTCACTCCCCGCCCCTGCTTAAAACTCGAGAACTGCTCTGTTCAATATGGTAGCCACTGGCCACAAGTGGCTACTAAGCATTTGCACCGTGGTTAATCTCAATGCCGGTGAACTACAAGTATAAAACACACACCAGATCTCAAAGATACAGTACCAAAATAAGAATGTAAAATATCTCAGTAATGCTGTGTATCAATCACAGGTGGAAATGGGATATGTTGGGTTAACTAAAGTATATTATAAATAGTTCACCGATTTCCTTTTACTTTTTTTTTAATGTGGCTACTAGAAATGTTTAAATGATTTACCTGGCACACACTAGGTCTCAGTTGGAAAGCACTGATCTATAATTCCCCACTGTTCTCGGAAAAGAATTTAGCCTCCATAGCAGGGGGTCCAATGTGATCCAGTCACCAAATACTTCTCAGGTCCCCTGATGCATTCTCCCTGTCCCTCAGTGCCCTCCAGCCATAGCAACATTATGATCCCTCAGACATAGAAAGCCTGTACCTCCCACCCACCTTAGAGTCTCTGCACTCATGATTCCATCCTTCTGAAATGTTCTTTCCATGGTAACTCTACTCATAGCTGACTCATTCTCCTTCTTCAGGTCTTAGCTCACATGATCCCTTCAGTCAGGCCTTCCTGGACCACTGGATGCGAAGGGACCATATATCCAGTGAATGTCTTTTCCATATACTTCTTCCAAGGCACTCACTGCCATCCTCAATTACCTTATCTAATTTTCTGTTCACTTGATCAATGCCTGTCTCCCTCCACTAGAATAGAAGCTGTGTGAGGGGAGAAACCTTTCCTGTCTTATTCATGTTCTGTCATATCCTCAGCTCAGGGCCTCCTAACCCATTGTAGTTCTCAGTTCAATGTCTGTTGAATGAATGAATGAATGAGTGAACAATGAAAATGGCAGCAGACACAGAGCAAAAAATCCCAGTCAGGACAAACCCATTGATAATGACGACAACACCACCATCTAACTCAGACCTGGAAACTGCTTCTGATTCTGTGTCTCCCTCTTTCTCTGACTCTCCCCTGCTCATGCTGTCTGTCTCTCTCTCTCAAAAAAAATAAATAAAACATTAAAAAATAATAATAAAGATTTGTTTGAGAGGTAATGTAGTACAGTTGAAAGGACACAGTTTGGAGTTAGAAGTTTTGAGATCGAATTTTAGCTCTGCCACTTACTGGCTGTGTGACCTTGGATAGAGCTTGATTGTCCAAAATCTCCATTTTTCTCCCAGAAAAATAATTAGAACTATTATGGAATAATTAAAATGATTCTGTGATTGCCTTGAAGTTCAAGTAAGAGAAGAGCCTTGTCAGTTGGAGAGCTCCAATGATGGTTATTACACCAAGACCTTCTTGAAAGGGAAGGATTCTTTTATTTACCTGGGGTGTCCCCAGCACCCAGCACAGGGCTTGGCTAGGGCAGGTGTCCCAAATTGCTTGAAGGATGCATGAACCCTCTGATAAGCTCTGACACCACAAAGCAATGAGCCTTGGAAAAATCAGATCTCTCACTGTTCCAACCTAGAAATGATAGTCCACTTTCTTCCAAAGAGAAGCAAAAGGATCTCAGAGCTAGAGTGAGGCTGAGGTATAATGGCCACATTTCCTCCTTTTTCCAGAACAGTCCAAAATTATAATAATCTGTCCAGCTATCCAGCCAAGACTCTGAACTATAGGTCCCCGGGAACATTTGGCTCAAGAGAAGGGTTCGAGGAGTCAGAGTCAGCATCTTTAGCTGGGGACTGAGTAAATACCAGCAGGGACTGGGGGTTGCCTTTCTGCCCACAACAGGTTGTTTTCCAGGAAAAAAAATGGGCCACCCCAAGCAGTAGCTCCTGATTCTCACAAGAGCCACAATATCTGCCTCCTTAAATGCCACTGGGCCCAAGGGTAAAAATATGGATGAGAGGAAGATCATGTGTTTGGACCTATATGGTGTTAAAGTTAATACAATTAGAATTATTCCATGAAACAATAATTTCTCAAGATGGGGCAAGAAGGGTGGCTGGGAAAGGAGTGAGAAATGACTTCACTGAGAAGGCTTCTGCCCAGTTTGCAAGGGATAAAGCCTGTCTTTGTTATTCTCCTGGCTTCTGTTCCTGTAACTCTGAAATATAAAGGCTTCTGGCATGACATCCCTGTTCAGCACTTTTGTTCCTAGGATTTGCTACTGAATGGGCTTTTCACATGGAAACCTCTTCCAGGCCAGGCTTCTGTTGGCCACGTTTATTTACACACTGGTTTACTGTGCAGCCCACCTTGGAAGTTTGGGCAAACTAAACCAGGTGCTGCATTGCACCATCTCTTCCCAGTCCTGCCTGCCTGCTCACTGCTGATTAAAAGCCAGAACCCAATCTGCATTCATTCAACACCTGTGTTCCGAGTGTCCATCACATGACAGGTGTTGGGGCTACGGCTGGGAGCAAGCAAGACAAACATCGACTCCAGCAGGTCCAAAGAAAGAGAAAAGGGGAATCATGAATACAAAGCCTTTTCCAGGAATGTGAAAAAGGAATCATAATTTGGGATCACTGGTTAAGATTTGGGATTGCTGGGGGTGATGATGTGTTAAGAACCAAACTGGAGGAGGCTTTAAGAAGGAAAGTACCTCCAATAGGAGAGGAAGCCCTAGAATGTGACCTGCGGCTCCCCCATCCTCCAAATTAATCAGTCACATAAAGTGCTTTGAGACCATCCCCAACTTCAGTCTGCCTGCAACTTAGTTTACGTTAAACCACTAGAGCTCTAGTGGAAGAGGGTACTGATTTCTGGCAGTGAGTTACAGCCCCAAAAACCGCATTGCAGAGCAGTATTCATTCTCTCCAGGGTAAAAAGGGGCTGGGGTTTAGTCCTCTGTCCGGGCAGGGAAAATGTCCCCGGGACCCCAGGTCTTTAGAACCCATTTAATGGAGAGGTGGATTTATAGGCACACAGCATAGCACCTTGATGGGAAGAGCTGGCTGACACTGTCTTATAGGACTTGTTATGCTACATGTTGCCAAACACTTTGCCCCAAGGATGTGAGACATCCACAGACGGAGTGTTCCTCAGCCAGATCGTTCCTCAGCCAGATCTTCATAACCCAGTTCACCCCGTTTAACTAGAATTTCCTGGTTTATGGCTTCTTTTAATCCTGTGTCCCCTTCTTTCTAGGTAAGCTCTCACTCTAACTCAAATGTAAAGCCTTGCTGCAGAGTTCAACTTTGGACCAGTTACCCTCTCTGATCCTGTGTCCGAGTCTCCCAAACGCGAGTGAAAATCATCATCGTCATCGTGGTAATAAGAACACCGGAAATACTTATGAACCTAGAAAGAAGATGTACATCTTAGCGCCTATTTAAAATCAAGATTGTATTCTCCTCCTCGCTTTACCGGGTGGAGGTACACTAACGCAAGTCATGGAAGGCTGATTAATATAATTTAGAAATATTAATTTTTTAAAACCTCTTAACTCCCCTGGGCTCTCACCTCCTGTCTGGTCACTGGAGGACTTTCCCCGATTTGGGCAAGTTAGCAGCTCGAGTCAGTGCGGCTGCACACCACCTGCCCCCCGCCCCCCTCGCCCTGCACCCCCCTAAAACAAGGCAGAAAGGGTGGGAAGGGGAACACGCTCAGCATTTATTTTTGGACCCGGCTCACTAAAAATACTTCAGCCTTCTTGTTTGATCACTCTCCCCTCTGACCTGAATGGATCGCGGGGCTCAGCAGCCCGCCCCACCCTCTGCCCGTTGTCCTTTAAAGGAGAAGGGCGTGGGGACGGATTCCTGCCGCTAGCTCGAGGGACTGATGAGAGCCGCCCGGGCAGGCAGGGGCCGCGGCCGCACTGACGTCAGAACAGCGCTCGCGCCGCCGCAGCCGCCCGGAGCTGCCCTGGCCGCCCAGAGGGAGGGGGGTGAGCCGCGCGCTGCGATTGGCTGGCTGGGCGCGAGCGCTCGCGAGGATTGGCTGGCGCGGTTTTAGAGGGAGTCCTGCTCTCCAATTAAAGGACCTCGCGGCGCCGGGCTGAGCGCAGAGTTCCCTCAGGCCCGCGAACCTAGCCATTCAGCCAGCCGCTGTCCCCGCTGCGCGCCCTAGCGCCTCTGCCCGAGAAGCCAGGCGCTGTTCCTGCACCGCAGAAGATGGCAAAGGTGGCTAAGGACCTCAACCCAGGAGTTCAGAAGGTGAGCTGCTATCTGTCTGTACTTAACCCACATTCTACCTTTTCCCTGTGCCCCCCTCCCAGGTTTCACGGAGACTTCCCTAGACGTAAGGAGGAAATTCATTAAATTCCAAGACTTCCCAGAAAACAACAGTTGGGAATACATATTTGAGCCAACAGGCACACACCCTAAGACTTACTCTTAAAAGCCATTGTGTAAAGTATTTGCAAAGAATCTTAGTTCTTTGGTGGTGCTAATTAAAATTTAAATAAAACTTTTTTTTTTTAAAGAGTAATTCTGTTCTCTGTAGGGAGAAAAAAAACCCTACCTCCCTGGGTTGAGGTGAAGGTTGGGGGGAAGGTAATATTTACTCACAAGGAATCTCCCCTTTTGCTTTCTGTCATCCTAATATTTTGTATTTTTTGCTCACACACACGTTTCTTTAGTTGGTGATGTTGGCAATGGCAGCAATTCCACCACTGGGGAACTAATTTCTGTCCCCAGGGTCTGCACGTTTCCCTTTCAGGAAGGGCTGGCCCAGAGCCCAGAAAGTCATGGGTGAATTACTGCAGGAGAGGCCCACAGCTGTGCCTGTAGCGCCAGCACGTACCTGCTACTTACCTGCATGCCATTGGGAGAGGGCACAGGTCAGAGACTTAGAGGGCAGGTGAGCTGGAAAGGAGCAGAGAGACAGACCGTCTAAGCCAGTGGAGAAAATGAAGCCCAGGGTTATAGAGCATTGATTGGTACCAGCAGGCAGGAAAGCCTTAGGCGCTGAAACCCTGGCCCTGCCCCCTTTGAGCTGTACTGCTTTTGACCAAGTCACTTTTCTGTGCCTCATTTTCCTTATCTCCAGTTTTGGGGATAATAAACCCTGCCTCCCTCCCAGCAGCAGTAACAGCAATGCTAAACTGTGGGTTCATCTCTCAAAGCAGTTATTTTTAAAGTCTTGCAGGGCAAAGTCCTCCTTAGACATTGGCTATTACCTGTGGAGTAGAATGAGAGGCCAAAAACCAAAACCAAACAAACAGAAAACCCCAAACCCATGTCCAAATCAAAATAAAAATGCAAGACACTTAGAGCCACAGCATTCATACATCTGATTTACTGCTGCACCATTACATAGCTGACCTGCCCCAGACTCCCACACACAGTCTAGCGGACCCTTCTGAATGTGTACACCAAGTCAGACGTAATCAGGGCATTTCTCTGGAATGTACCATGTCCCATCACATTTGCCAGACTATTTGGAGAATCAAGTCCTCTCTCCTTCTATGGAATTCTCATAATACTTTAGACCTTGGTAAGACACCTACTAATTCCTACCTAGTAGCGAGTCCTGCCTGCACTGCTCTTATTTCTTTACACATCTTTCTAAACTCCTTGAAGGCAAACCTTTCTGGCTCATCTCTGTTCCAACACAGCATACCATACACAGCAGGACTCAATAAACTACTAGGGAACCACTGAATATCCGCCCAGCTAAGACCATAGAGTTCGCGGACAGTACATTCTGTACATGAATGTTTTTTAACTTGTAGCACCTGGATATTTGTGTGTCTGAACCACCTCCCCAGATTCAGCTGAGGTAAAAAGTATAGGGCTAAAGGGGCAGAGTCCCAATGTCCTCTAGAAAGTCAGATGATTTGGGAGTGGTTTTACTACCCGTTGATTGACAGATCATGTCTGAAGAAAGGCAGAGTAGATGGAAACCCTCCTCCTTACTGAAAGCCAAAGCCACCGCTTGGAGGAAACCTTGTTTTTATTTTCCTTTGCATCGGAGAGTGTGATTATCCAGATTAGAGGTGGAACACGTTCTCCTTCTTGTCACCCCTCTAGTGCCAACTTCCTTGGCCTGCAAAGGGTTTATTTTCCATTTAGATCCAATTACAGGCTTAGAGAAAGAATGCAGTGGGTAGAGATGAAAGGGTGGTTTTTTTTTTTTTTTTAACCTCTTGAGACTGTGGCAATGAGGAGGATAATCACCACTATGTAGATTAACCAAAGTCTTCAACTCAAAAAGTCAAGGGAAGAGAAGAGAGTGGGGGAAGCAATTCTCTCTGCTGAACTTTATAATAGTGATTAAACACTGTCATACCAACAGCACGCTGAAAAGCTTTTATTGCATATTTACTCTTTAAGTCTGGAGCAGTGGGGGGTTTTATAACATTTGGCTTCAGGACACATGTAGACATTTTGAAACCATTTCCTAGACTCTGGGAGCTGCAAGGGACCTATTTACAAAATGAGAAATGGTTTAAAATGGCATACAAACTGTCTCTGCTGCCCTACCCCCAAGGGGAAGAGGGATACGAGGAATCCTTAGCAGCTGGAAAGTCGTAAAAAGGTCTTCAAGAGAACATAAAATCCAAAACCCGGAGTAGCTTTAAAGACTATCTAACCAGTCCCAGACAGAGTGGCTCACCGAGGGTCACATACCTAGTTAGTGGCAGACCTTAGAAACAGTTACCTGCCTCCTCTCATCTGAGCCAAGTTAAGTGCTCCCAGTGGCTACTCTTGAGCCATCATTTGTTTTTTTTCTACTGGGAAAGAGAAGGTTTCCTAGTACAGAGAGTTCCCTGAGTATAGTCAACATTCCTTGGTAATAAAGGGCCTTGAAGGCCAAATGCCATTTCTTTTGGTGGAATCAACCACTACTGAGGATTTATTCTGTTGTTTATTAAGCAAATGTAAGAATACTGGTACTGCTGTTCTTGTAACTAGATCCGGGTTCCTACCCGAACTCTACCACTTAATAGCTATGAGCTCTCTGGCAAGCAGATTAGCTTCTGAGTCTGTGCCCTTATGGGAAATTTGGAGAGATAATAGCAGCATCTACCTTCCTAAGGTATCTGTGGTCATTAAATGAGATAATACATATGACAGTCTCAGCACAGTAGCTCTCAAACAGAGTTAGCTGCTTATTATTATTACTATTATTATTATTATTGGCAATGTGTATTTCGATGGGCATGTGAATGCTGAAGGGAGTCTTTTGGTGGACGCTTTTCTTTATGACTATCCCATCTGAAGAGCAACTAATTTTCATTCAGCTGAACCAAAGCCAGTTGCTCAGTCTTGATAAGTTGAATGTTGCTCTTTTCTTCATTCTACCCCCACAGATACAAAATCTGCTTACAAGGAACAGAGATTACCAGTCATCCCACTCTGGAGCTGTAGAATTTTAGACCTGAAAAGGGACATGGAGCTCTTTTCACTTGTTAGACGAGGAAACTTCGCCCCAGAGGGGTCCAGCTCCTTATCTGAGATTGCTGAGAAAATGTGCTGAAACCCATAAGGCTCTGCAAGAATACAGGCCTACTGGCTGCCAAGGAGCCACTTGCAGGAATTTAGAAAGGACTAGAACAAAGAGATCTAAGGGCATGTTCACTGTTGACGGTACATATGCCAGTGGATTGACTCCAAAGGGTTCTATTTTTCACCCCTCAACACAGTGTCAGAGGAGCATTACATGATGGTTTTAAGTGCATTACCAGGTTCAGCTAGGCATCTCCCCACATCCTTCCCCGCATCCCCTCCCTCTTGGCTTTCCTCTCCTCCAGCTTCATCCTTCCTCTGTCCTCAGCCCTTCCTGCTTTCACCTCCAGTTCCTGCAGCGTGCAAAACCACTGGCACATTGCCTGAGTGAGCTGATCCAATGTAAACAAGGCTCCTCAAGAACTGTCGTTGGCTCCTTCAGTCTTAAAAATATACTAAACTGTCACTTAAAGATGTTAATAGCCAAGGAACTGGAGACATGCCCATAGGTGTATAAACAACTTGGCCCAAAAGAGAGACTTTTTAAAAAAGAAAGACAGAAAATATCCAAGGCCTCCTTAAAGGATCTCTGAAAACAGATGCTGAAGCCATTACTTTGTAAATTGCAGATGCTTGTCATCTTGTGCAGACCTGTACGAATATCTGGGGTTGGGGGCAGATGATTGACGTTTACCAGTGCATCCACCACCTGGGGTGACGGGAGGCAGGGAAAGGCTTAATCACAGACCATCTCTAGGCTTTGCACTCAGCCATCTAGGCTCCAAGACCTCCTCCTAGCCAGGACTTATGCACCATTCTATAAGCTGGACAGGGGGAAAGGACTTCGGTATTTACCTCTGAAGTTCTGTGGTTGTATCGTCTCTCCACATTAACTAGCCAAAGGTGACAAGGAAGCAAAAGAATAGGCTGAGTCCAGCAAAAGCTGGGGACCAGGAAGGAGGGACAGTGACACAGGCTCATGTGTGCATCTTTCTTTCCCACCGCCATGCCTGCCACTTCTGATGAGGCTAAGGTAAGGACAGAGAAGTGAAGGAATAATTCCTCCTACAGCCCAGTGGAGTCAGCAGGTCTCCAGAAGAGGCATTCAGTTTGACTTTGGAAGGAGAATCATTTTTGCTTTCCAACTTGCACATTCAAAATAGAGTGTGAATAATAAAGTGGAAATCTGTCACGATGAGCATACACCTTAGGAGTTCTTATCTTCCCAGGGCTCATCCAACACCATTTAACTATTTATTATGAGAAGTTTTCTGGCAGAGGTTGAGTCATTATAATAACTGCAGGCATTTCTTTACCAGGTGACATTGGACAGGCCACCTTTCCTAGGAAGTGACAGACCTTAGATGAGAATCAGTCTTCCTTTTCCTTCCAGTCCACTGACCTTTCCTGTACACCAGACTGTCTCCCAAATAGCAAATGATTATGGAAAAACAGGCCTAAAACCTTGTCCTACTGAAAGTAGGATTGAGGAACAGCTTTTCAGGACATCCAGAAGGAAGAGACAGCTGTTGTTCTTTAAGTGCCTTCCTTTGGAAGTACCACCCCACCCCCTCCCTTTCATTTGCTTTTGGGAAGAGGATTTGGCTGGCAGCTGCCGTGATCTTGCCAGGTGCAGGGCCACCAACCACTTCTGGAGGAGTTGCTCAAGATTATGATATTTCTTTAACTTCACACGGAATGTTCAGGGTGTTCTAAACCTATTCTTGGAGCTTCGTACATATCAATGGCATGGATCTGCAGAA